GTAGATTCTCTCCCTTCTTCAGGACTAAAATCATTCAAACAGAAGAGGAGCCAAGCAAGCAGTCGTCTTCTTTGGCACAGGAATTACCAATTATTCTTCAAAGTTGTCAGCAATTAGAAGGTAACATCAGTTGGAAAAATCACTCTCCCACTAGTGCAATCATGATGGGCAAGGCAGCAAGTTTGCTACAGTCTCAAGTAATTAATAATACCCATCTTTTCCAACTTAATCACAGAAAGTCTAGCTCTTTCTTCTCATGCCTGCTTAACACCTCCAAAGGGCTGCTGCTGCCCTCCCAAAAGTGCTGCTACACTCCCTAGACCACCTCTTCTCGCTGCAGTCCCAGAGAGCATCTTGTGATGCCAGAAACCCAATGGAAGCTTTTCATCCTCCCATGGGGCACTGATAAAGGAGATTTTTCACTCATTGACTCCTGTATGAGCCCAGCCTTGCCAACAATTCATAGGACCTTTGAGAATGATAGACTGGTCACCAAACTGAGCGAAAAAAAGATGACCAGAGATGATGCCCATAGTCAACAAAGTCAACAGCAAAGCATAATATTCCAGCTACCAGCCACTTAGGTCCAGACACACCATTGATCAACAGTCCTTGCATCATGCAAAACACACTATCAAATATTTTCCATGTTTTAAAATTGCTAATGTGGGTGCCAAGCTGATGTAACACACAAAAGCAGCTGCCATTTATGGGTGATTATAAGTTTTATGAATTGTCTTTATGCTGTACACTAATGGTTTCACAAATTATTTCTCCACTGCTAAGAACGGATAACTTTTTATACATTACTCAACAGACACTAGCTTTTTTTTGTTTCTCTTTAATGTTATTTGCTATGGTCAACCTCACACCACAAGACCACCACTGTTCACAATAACAGGTGCAGTAATAGAATATGAATCATCTTCACGGTCTACACAGTGCATGTACTGTACTCTGGAGGGCTGAACAGCTAGTTTAACCATGAGAACACTCTAGCAGATTGCTAGATACCTTTGAAGTTAGTTGTGATAGGTCCATAAGTGTAAAAACATTTACAGCTAAAATGCTTTTTACTGCTGTGACAAGGAAGAAAAGTGTACAGTAAACCGCCTGTAAAAGTGAAAGAAGAAGGCACATTTAGTCAGCATCAGAACGGAACATGTATCACAAGGGGCTGCATAGGGCTTCCTCAAGGAAAATGCATGCTAAACTTCCCTCCCTTACCACTGAGTACCACAACTGAATGTGCTATGCACAGCAGCAAAGAGGATTTCTGGAAAGAATACGGCTGGCTAGTAGCAATGATTCCTTTCATACAGTGTTGTAATTTAGCCCAGCCACTAAGCTATCACGAAGTCACTTGCTCACTCCTCTCCCTCAGTGGGGTGGAGAGGAAAAGGTGTAGCAAAAGGCCTGAAGGTCCAGATAAGAATGGAGAAGGATCACCCAGCAACCATGGCCTCGGGCAAAACACACTCAGCTTGGGGACATATCAATTCAATTTATTAACAGTTACTTGAGAGGATAATAAGAAACAAAGCCCGATCTTAAAAACAACACCTCCCCCCTCCCTCCTTTCCTTTCTTCCCAGCTCTACCTCCTCCCACAGCGGCACTGGGAATGAGGGCATTGCAGGTCAGTTCATCACAAGTTATTTCTGCGGCATCTGGAGGAGGACTCCTTACACTCTCTTCCCCTGCTCCAGTGGATCCCCTCCTCACAGGACAGTCCACAGACTTCTCCAACGTGAGTCCTACCCGCAGGATGCAATCCTTACCCATCAGATTGCTCCAGCACGAGCTTCTTTCCCACAGAGTCACATCTTCTTAGGGAGTTGCCACTCGCTCCAGCGTAGGTCTTTCCACAGGCTTCAGATGCATCTCTCCTTTGTCGTGAGTCTCGTTCTCTACGATCTCCTTCAGGCTGAGGCATCTCTGCTCCAGCGCAGGCTTCTCCCCGGGCTGTGAGTAGGTCTCTCCCACCGTGTCTGTCATGGCTGCAGGAGGGCCGCTGCCGTCTTGCCATGGGCTGCAGGGGAATCTCAGCTCCACCACACCTCGCCCCGTTCCATCAGCACTGACCTGGTGTCTGTGTGGACGTTTCTCTCAGATCTCAGTCCTCTCCAGACAAACTCTGCCCAGTGGCACCGGCGCAGGGCCCATCTGAGCTCTCCAAGAGGCACCACCGTGGCCACGCGCAGCCGCCGCCCAGGAAGCAGGGGAGGGGCGGGATGGGGGCAGCATTGGCAGAGGCGCTGATGGCCCTACCTTGGCCTGAGGGGATGGGGGTCCGACCTGGTGGCCAGAGACCCATCCGACCGGGGTTTTGGAGCCCAGGAAGTTACAAGGGGTGACGCCATTCTCCTGCTACCAAAACCCTTTCACATAAACCCAGCACTTATAATTTATATCCACTTTTGGCCCCAAGTCACATTAACATAAAATCTTTTACTGGTTTCACTGAAAAGACCTGCTCTCTGCCCCGATGTTCATGATGGTAGCTACTTCATATCAAAACAAGACTGGCAATGCAGACAAATAACCTCAGTCTTATGCTGTCTACTGTACGGAAAATCTTTATGCTGATAAAGTGGAACCTTTACTCCTTAAACCAGCGTACAAGATTCCTGTTTTTCTTCACTGTACTCCTGAGACAAAAACACATTCTTCCTCATATAATTTTAAAAAAACATCACATAATCACGTCGTGATACTTCTTAAGAGCACATTAGTAATTTATAAAATGAGAGAACTTTACCCCCCACACCAACAATAGGGAAAAAAATTGTTTTGAAACTCATGATTTTAGTGGATTGAGATGATGCACATTATGGCATTCTCTGGTGTTTTACCTCTTTGTCTAAATGATGTATTTTGCTTTTGATACAGGTTTTGATACAGGTACAGAATAATGAGCATAACCCAAGTTTCATTTTCTCTCTCCATTTTAATCAAAAAATATTGTCATATTTCTACTTGTTTGTTGTTTGGCTTGAGCCCCAAGGTGTATCGGTTTTAAATTGTTCTGAAATATGACACTTAATTTTTTAACAAAACGACTGGAAAGAGTTACTTGTCTCTACTTATAGTCAATCACTGGTTTTCAAATCAGTTTATTTCACAAGTAAAACAGTGTGCTATTTTTTCCTAATTGTCAGAACCAGAACCTATGATTTGAAATTTCAACAGTATTCTCCTGAAGTTACTCAGTATTTCTCCAACTTAAATTGTCAGTTATATGTACATAAATTTTAAAAACTGTTACTGATACAGAAAATCTGCTTACCTTTCCTGGACAACCTTGGAGTAGAACTTAGCCTTTACGGAACAACCATACACTGGTCAAACAGGCTGCATTTGAATAGATGGTCCTGGAAGAAACTCTGTTCCTGAGCTGCACCTCAGCTGCATTTTAAGGGGACCACCAGGTCTTCAACAGTAGGAAACCCAGGTGCCTGAGGAGCAGTCGAGTGCCTGAGGATCCCTAAGTCTAGGCAGTCTGGGAGTGGGGACTTCACAGTGTTCCACTGAGCACTTGCCAGGCAGCTGAGACACAGCTGCCGGCTTCAGAGTAT